AAATAATAGCAATAATAATAAATAAAAAAATATAGCTTATAAAACTCTATATAAAATTGTAATTAGCAAAACAAATACGAACAAATGAAAACAAAATGAAAATGTGTAAAATGCCTGCATGCCTTGCCATCAAATCAAATTGCGCGAAGACCGTCGTCGTAGTCGACCACATTTTGTCGTTGTCATGTTCTTCTGATCATATGTCGTTAAATGTGTGTTATTGTTGTCAAGAATAGAAAAAAATTGCACACAAACGATTGTTGGCCATGCCAAGCGTGTTGCTGACGGCTATTGCGGTGGTTGTCGTGGTGGTCGCTGCGGTGGTGTGTGCGGTGGTGTGTGCGGCGGTGTTGTCAGCAACAGTGACTGTAGCGTTGGCGGCGGTGGCGGCCTTTGGAAAAACTAACTCAACCACAAGCCCCATCCTCCGTCACTCTGCGCACATTGGCGCCAATATAACAACAATTTATTGCTGTTAGATGGATAGCGACAGTGCAACAGCAAATATTATGCCAATATGTACGGCTATGTATGTATGTATGTCCGTATGCTTGGTGTGCACACACTCCACTACCGCTTGTTGCTGAGGCTTTAATTGTGACTCGCTGCTGCTGGCACTGTCGCTGCCAACACGTCCGTCCGTCGCCAATCAGCGACCAGCAACAACACAATCGCAAATCAAAGGTAATGCGCACAGAAGCCGACGCGCGTCGCTTGTCGCACATCGCTCGCATGTTGCTGGGTCGCTTTGTTATGCGTTTGCCGGCAGTTTGCCACTCTTTTTTCCATAGCGACATGTTCTTGTTGTCATTGAATGCCAATAAAAATGTGCGACATATTGTTGCAATCGCGGCGCAAAAACCAAAACCCAACATACAAAAACAACAATAAACAACAATGTATAGAAAAACGAGGTAGCGACAATAAGCCAAAGCGTCCAACAAACGCGTCTCTGTTCTATTGTTTTTGTTGGTTGCTCGCTTTTTGTTGTTGTGTTTGTGTGCTGGTGTTGCGGAACGAATTGCTTGCTGGTTGGCTGGCTGGTTGA